ACTAGAAACGTAAAGTAATAACTGAGGCCCTAGTGATCCTGAATTATTTCCCAACCAATAGACTTAAAGTTCAGGATATCAGGAGGTTGAAAGTAGTTGGCAGGAAACCCTCAGTCTTGACTCCTTGCTATTTGGCACTCATTAGGAACGTGTACCTCTAACTTTGAGGAGACTAGTGATCCCTGGCAGATTTCATTCCATGTCACCTAGATTCTTAGTCAGAGGCATTACCAATGAGCTATCCTGTAGGACAGATATTTACAATTTATTGACCCCTGATTAGTGACTAATGTTATATTTATCTAGTCCTTTAGCGCTGGTCACATTCCAGCGACCAGGTGCACTTTGCTGATGAGTGTCCAATAGCATAAAACCCAGATCCAGGATTTCTTGTTGACTGCCTTCAACCATCTAATATCTTGACATGCCGCACGTCATTTCGAGTCATTTAAACTATAGCCGCTTGATAACTTGACAGAAAGAATGCAATCAGCACTAAAAGAACTAGACAAACATGACACTGATCACTACTCAATGACCGATCAATTATAGACCCAAAGGTTTTTGGTGAGATAACTCGCTGAGTTAGCTTGAATTAGGCGCCTGAAGAAAGGTTATACGAGAAATGTAGTATGGTATGGTCTTTGATGATTCTATAGATTAACAAGCGATAAAATATTCTTCAATAAAGAATAATGTATGACAATGCACATAAAATTGCTCAGGACATTAATCTCTAAAGGGAAGAACTAACAGTTCCAAAGGCTAAGATTTACCCATAGTTTCATTAGATTAGTTTAATATCTGGAATGAAAAGTTATTTATAGTTAACATTTATTTTGAACTAATGGATTATTCAAAAGATTATCCAATAGTTATTATTTTTCTAACAATTTTGTTAACAACGTCAAAAGATAGCATTATGTTTTAACAGTTCATGATATTAAAGATTTATGGTCATCGCTTCTATTAATTTTTCTTCCTATTAACGTGTCATATAACGAAATCATGAGCTAAAAATAAAAAAAATTAAAATATGTATCAAAATGCTTAGATTTTTACCTAAGAATGGAAAAGATGAGAAATTGAGGACTGATTCCAAAAATATATACCAAAACGTCTCAGGTCAATGGGACCTAAGCCTTTAAGCAGTGCTATTACCAAACACCGCTGTGGTACGAGGCATCAGGTTGATAGACTAAAATTTTTCAATATCATAAACTGACAGTCAAATACCATCCTTCGCAAATTTGCAAAAGTCACGGCCATTAAATGACTAAAGCCGGACTAATGTATGCAAAAGTACACTATTGCAAATATATTCTTACCATTGTGATTTTATCGTCACTTTATTACAGAATTTTCGTGATTTTCTTCTCTCTCTCTCTCTCTCTCTCCTATTTTAATAACACCACTTATTGCGAAGATATAACCTTATTAGTTATTTTTAACTGACTGATCTCAACACAATATTCCCAGCACAACGTTCCCTCACAAACGCATTTACAAAGCTACATGGGTCACACCGGATCACACCACAGAGAATCAGATCGATCACATTTGCATCACTAAAGCATCCAGAAGGTCGATGGAAGACATGAAAACCAGGAGATGAGAACACATAGCCTTAGATCACCATCTGCTTGTGATTGACAAGATGCAACTGAAGTTAAAGAAGCACTAGACAAATGGACGAACAGCATTACAAAGGTTTAATACAGCCATCCTTAGACATATTGACAAACTTAATCAATTCAGGATATCTCTCAGTCAGTCAGTCAGTCAGCTACAACGTAGGACCAGGCACATATGTGCATCGGTCCAGGTTGCCATACCGCATCAGCACAACAAGATGAACACCGGATTCACAGCAGTGGTTAGGTCAAAGGTGGTAATATATAAGAGAAAGATTGCATATAGAGATATAGTACAAAAAGGAGAAAGAATTGGTTCGTAGAAAGAAAGATATGAAGTGATTTTAATCTCTTAGTTTAAGGGAAGACAGGGAGTGTATACACCGACGCCATTGTGATCGATTCTGAGCCATGTCACCAAGAGTCTCCAACCATTGGTTACGAAAGTCACTCTCTCAGCGACAGGTTCCAAGCCTTAAAAGATCTGCTTGAAGAAACCACTATGTAGAATAACTGGAAAAGGATCAGAAGATCGATAACTTCGGGATGTCAAGAGGTTCTGGGATACAGCAAGCTACATCGTATAGAATAGACCTCTGTTGATAACCTGCGCAAGATATAAGACAGGAAGAACAAGAAGACACCAACCAACCGCAGCCGAACAAGAACAAAGAAGCTCAAGGCACAAGCTGAATACACAAGAGTAAACAAGCAGGTGAAGAGGAGCATGAGAGTCGATAATCAGAAATACGTGGAATGCCTAACAACGACAGAGGAAAAAGCTGTAACAAAAAGAAAAATGAAACAAACATAAAATACAGCGAAGCTGTCAGGGAAAGACAGAAAACCAAAAAGACTGGTCAATGACAAAGAACAAACCAATCACTTGCCTATGTACATCATGTGACTTACGGTGTAACCGAAAAACATAACTGATAGCCACTACCAGCTAGTAGATCCCTTCTCTCGGAATAACGAAATAATGTCAGTCCGGTGAAGCGAAAATGTCCCATCACTAGAAACGTTTTCAGAAAATCAGCTCGGTCGTATTGGAGTAAACATATTCCATATAGTACTTAATGCTTAACGACCTTTAAAGTTTCTTCTTTGATATATAATGAAATTGTAATGGCAAGAACACCATGAAAAATTATATCTTATTATGGCTTCGCATTTTCCTCTTCAGGAATACAACTGGGCGAAACGTCACTCGTTCTTAGAATCGGTAAGTGTTATTAGAAGATCTTTTGCTATTGACAGCAATAGAAAGATAAAGATAGGGATATTTCAACATTAGAGTTACATACAAGGAGTTTCAGCCTTACCACGTAAATTGGATGACCGAACTTCTTTTATTATTAAAATGCTTCGAAAAATGCTGAAATCACTTTTTAATGATGTATCTAGGGTTGAAGTGATTCAATTATCAGACGCTCGTAATACAGGACCTATTATCTCTTGCATAAATTAACAACTGGCTATGTTATTTCTTGAGCAGAAAAAAGTTACCAAAACAAGTCAGAATATGAAAAGGTCATGTGATCATTAATCAAATATCATCTGGGAATGAAAATAATTTCAACTTTAGCCTTTCTATGTTCACTCGCGGAACCAATCCTGGAGAAATGAGAAAGGTTTTGGCAATGGGTTAGTAACCCTGTCGCGTAGAAAACAACTTCACCAAACTAGGAAGAAACAATTGATCAGTGATTCTTGATTCTCATTGTTTTCTTCATCTAAATTATGTTCTTGGGACAAATTAACTAAAAAAATATTTATAAAAATTTCATTTAAACTTTTATTTTGAGTAATGTTTCGTACAGAATTGTCTTTCTGCCTCCTTAAAATGACACGAACTAAAGGTATTCCCTTCCAACTGACATTTTACTAATCATACAGGTATAATCAGAGAAAGTAAACCAGAAATACTGGTCAATGACAAAAAACAAACCAATCACTGAGATTCAAGAACAAAGGAACTGATAAGTGGAGCACTTCGAAGAAATCTTGAAAAGACCAGTTCACTGAACCCACCGGACATCGAAGCAACACCCATAGACCTTCCTATAGATGTCACTCCAACAACTATCGTAGAAATCAGCATAGCCCTCAGACAGATCAAGAGTGGGGAAGATGAAGGACCAGACAACATCATCGATAAACAAGGAGGATCTGATGCAAATTCAAAGACAAGGATTGACAAAGAAAGAGCAGCATTACCACAGTTGAAGAACATATGGAACTCAGAACAACTGTCAGCAAATATCAAAATCAGAATCTTTAATACGAACGTCAAGACAGTTCCACTGTACGGAGCTGAAACTTGGAGAATTACTACAACCATAATAAAAAAGTACAAGTATTTATGAACGATTATCTACGTAAGATACTCAATGTCCGTTGACCGGATAGCAACAGCAACAAGTAACTATGGAAGAGAACAAACCAACTTTCAGCTGAAGAAGGAATTAGAAAAAGACGTTGGAGGTGAGTAGGACATACACTACGGAAATCATCAAACTGTATTACGAAGCAAGCCTTAACTTGGGATCCTGAAGGAAAACAGAAAAGGCGAAGACTAAGGAACACATTGAGTCGGGAATTGGAAGCAGACATCAAAAGGGTGAATAGCAGCTTGAAACAACTGGAAAGGATTGCTCAGGACAGAGTTCGATGGAAACTGTTAAGGGAGGGTCTATGCTCCTCCACGAGAGGTAACAGGCTCAAGTAAATATATATTGAATATAGTTTTGTCTAGTACTATGTCAATTCCACATAGGTTAATCTGGCTTACGGACAGAGCAGTTCATTTATTTTTCATGAGTCCCATTTTCACCTTGTCAATTATTCACTTATCATACTTTTATATGAGTGATTGTTTGCATCGCACACCCTATTCATCACATGTCTGGAGCTAATTTTTCTGGCTATAAATATTGAGTCACGCTTTATCAAATGGAGTTATCACACTTTTCTTCTACCTTTGTTTTACTTTTCCACTTCTTGTTCATAATGTCTGTCTGTCTAAATAAACCAGTGCGTGCAATAAATTAATCCGATTCATTCTGTATCTGTCATCTTAACATCGCTGTCTCACAAACGGTTTTAGCTTAGGTATAATATAGGGAAATATTTTTATTCATGGCATGTTTATTCGTTCTTTAAGATCGAAGTTAGATTAGCGGGCCACTAAAATAAACTCAAATTGCTGCAGTTGATCACAAAGTACAGTAATACCAAGTGATCACTGACTTAAGGACTAAAGAATTCAGTTGAATTAATCTATATTAATTAATAAAATGCCTTGTTTCAGAATAAATCAATCTGCTATCAGTGTTCAACTGAAAAGATCAATGTCTAACTTACTCTAGCAGCCATTGAAGTCTGAGGTTTTTCAACCAAGTCCCATACATACTTTTGCAATGTAGCCCACCTTCCTGTGCCAAATTGTTCTTCTTGAGCCTGAGATAGATTTATTTCTCTAGTTTTCTTTAATTCTTCTTGAACCTGTTCCTTTTTTAAATAATATTTATAATAACAACACGTTTCTAATTGGTATTCATTTATACCCCAGTAGAATAAATCATTTTTAAAAGCCACCACACAAATGTCTTCCAAAAAATGTAAATGTCCTGTACGATAAACACCAAGGATTGAACCAAATGAACGTGCATATCTATCAAAATATAATTCATTTTTCTCACTCGAATAACTATCAAACAACTGAGCTAGTTCTGCAGGATTATTTGATATACTCAACCGGCCAAGACGAGATAACGGTAGACGCCTTAGAGTCTTCCACATTACTTCATGTCGTTCACCACCAACATTCAGTACTACGCGACAATGATGTTTGCGAGCTCTAAGAAATGCTGGTATGTAAACAGACTTTTCTAGGATGTCTGTTATTGAATCACGGCTACGTACTGAGATGTGGTCAACACTAGGAAGTTGATTATTTGATGCTAAATGACTTTTGTAAGCATTTGTTACTTGTTTCAAGGGTAGATTTCGACCTAGAAATCTGTCTACGGTTTTGTAGAATGTTTTCGACTTTAATAAATGAGCATGTGATGTTTTACGACGTGGTTTACGCAAACCATTACCACCCTCACCATTTTCTGTAACCTTAACATCATTTCCTGAGACTCGATCATTCATTAAAATGTTACTATCACTGTTAGGAATGACATTTGGAGTGTCATTAGGACCAACAGTGTTGTTATTAGTGAAAACAGTCTCAGTAATGTTTGGTACTGATGAATTAGTTGTAACGGTGTTACTGTTAGTATTATTATTCCAAGTGATTTCCATTGATTGCACATTCCAGAATAGAAGTTCTCAGTATGAGAGCAGATAGTTATATGGTTAGTAATCTGAATTTTTCATTGATTCCCCATATAGAGGTGATTTTCGTTTTCCATTCTTTTATACTAACGTCTCAAAATATATAAAATTCTCCACTGTATTTGCATTCATTTGTTCACATGATTTCATGAAAAATAGTTTTTAAGTCTGCTTTGTTAGAATGATAGGCTTCTGAATAAACCAATCTACAATTTAAATGTTTCCCATTTCGAATGCGAATATGTATTGCTCTTCCGCGAAAAACGACAGGTTATTAGAAGCACATCCCTGCCAAACTTTTATTTGTGCAAAATGTAAACAAAAAGTTAACTACTTAGAATATAAATGAACAAACACTTAAAATAATTGACTGCTATAAGTACATCATTAGTGTTTACATGCCTGTATGTATATTTGTGATCATCTCAGCAATAATAAACAGAGACGAATAACATCGCACTGTATACTATGTCCACTTCCACCTATCGTTTTGTTACCAAACGATCTTGTCTGTATGTATATATCTGTACGTATTTATCTGTCTATAAAAATTAATGACCAATGGATTAAGTCTAACTTATTAAACATAGGACAAAGTAACCAGTGTTTGGGATATAGTTGAAGTAACATATCAATATTATTGCATTTTTTCACACCAATCTTGTCTTGGATAAAAGTTGGACCAAACAGATTTAAACACTATGATCAGAAACATCATTCCCAAGATAGGAACGGTTCATATAATTTCATTGGCATTTTTTATGATATGAATATCTCACTTGGTATTGTTTACTTGAATCTTCCCATTGATGTTTAGGACTGCAATTGATCAGTCTCTTATTATCATATGTGCATACTGTGCGTAGTGCCTCGATATTGCCTTAACTCACAAGTATTATAAGCAAAAATGGATAGTGGCTAGCAGTAGAATCCAGGACGCACGTTTCATCGCATTTGGGACTCGTCAGCTGCTAGTGCACAAGCAGGTGGCTAACATGACTCAGTAGCTAAGTGGATAACGCGATGGCATTTATAATGATCTCAATATCTATTCAATAAACAAGTAGAAATATTATTTCGTTATTAGTTTTTCCCCAGTCTGGTAGTAGTCACATAAGCATTAAGATCTTCGACAGTGCTGGATTTCCATTTCGCGTTGATTAGAAACTCTCCAACTGTGTTTATACACAAGGCCAATAACTTTAAGTGTGGCAATAGGAATGATATATTTTAGTCAATTAGTCAAAATCTATCAGCTCATATTTTTCTACTTCGGTCAATTTGAATTACATCGTGACATACGTTATCATCCGTAGTCATGTTTCCTTACTTTCTTTAAATCCGCACTTTCTTATTAAAACTCCAGAAGTTCGTTACGTTGCTGAGTGCACCAAGAAGTCCAATCTCATATCCTGAAGGAATTACAGATCCATGGTGTGAACTATCATAGAACTGTACAACCTCCACTAATCTCCTAATCCAATAAGCACGGTTGTGTCAATGAAATTTGAATGAGGTAGGGGATATGTTAGTTTCAAATAAATTGAGTATTAGGTAGAAAGTTAATAATAAATATAGTTTTTGTGATATTTCTGACGTCAGAAATATGATTTTTCTACTCATTGAGATATAACAAAAACTATATCTATTATTAGAGTAGGGAATATTTATCATTAAACAAACTAGGAAATAATATATACAAAAAGAAACGGTAATGTAATATTGTTAAAATCCATTATTTTACAAACGAGTAACAAGACCTAGATTTAATTATTCTTGGTTAATTCAAAAGTAGTCGCAATACCATTGATATTGAATGGATTTTTATCACATAACAGCAAAATGTCTAGAAATTGCACAAAACACGATTGTTTGATGAGTTTAGCACACTTCTGATACAAGACAAAATTTCTAAAACTAGTACCTATAGATATTTCTCGTTTGACTTCAAAAAAATTAAGTAATCGAATGATTAGGTCATTCCTCTTGGGCAACTTTTATAGTTTCATGGTGTTTTTCTAAGTAATAAAATAATGGCTCCGCCTGGAGTCCCTCCGGGGACTACTGCCAGTCCCAAGCCCGGATAAAGGAAAAGGGTTGGGCATGGGGTTAGCGTCCCCATCCCGTAGAAAACTAACTCGCAAAAAAAAACGCTAACCAGAAAAAATGATTCAAACCTTTTAAACTCTGCCCTGGGAATCAGAAGGTCTTTATTTAGAAGAACTATGACGCCTCATGATGAAAGCCGAGTTCCTTCAGAAGTTATGAGGCCGATGCCCCTTCTGACAACCAGAGCGACCATTTATTTAGGTACATGGAATGTTCGTACAATGTGGGACACCGGAAGAACCTTCCAAATTGCTGCAGAAATGAGAAGATACAACCTAGAGGTACTTGGGATCAGTGAAACACATTGGACACATCTTGGACAACAACGACTAACTACAGGAGAGCTTCTGTTATACTCCGGCCATGAAGAAAATGCACCACATACACAAGGAGTTGCATTGATGCTCTCCAAACAAGCACAAAATGCACTTATAGGATGGGAATCTCATGGACGCAGGATCATCAAAGCCTCCTTTAAAACAAAGAAAGAGGGCGCTTCAATGAACATCATCCAATGCTATGCGCCTACCAACGACTACAATGAAGACGCTAAAGATCAATTCTACAATAGGCTGCAGTCAATCGTCGAGAAGTGCCCAACAAAGGACCTGACCATTCTGATGGGAGATTTCAATGACAAGGTTGGAACGGACAACACTGGATATGAAGACATCATGGGACGGCACGGACTGGGAGGAAGAAACGAAAATGGTGAGAGATTTGCAAATCTATGTGCCTTCAATAAGCTGGTCATAGGCGGCACCATATTCCCACATAAACACATACACAAAACCATATGGACTCCACCAGATCACACTACACAGAACCAAATTGACCATATCTGCATTATCAAAAAGTTCGGGAAGACGATGGAGGACGTGCGAACCAAGAGAGGAGCTGATATAGCATCAGATCATCACTTGCTGATCACCAAGATGAAATTGAAATTCAAGAAGCACTGCATAGCAAGGCGGACAACATCACAGATGTTCAATACGGCCTTTCTTCAGGATACTGACAAACTCAATAAACTCAAGATAGTCCTCAGCAATAAGTCCCAGGCCATTCATGATCTACTCAATGTAGAAAGAACTACTATGGAGAGCAACTGGAAGGGGATCAAAGAGGCAATCACTTCAACATGTTATGAGGTTCTGGGCCACAATAAGCCCCATCACAGGGAATGGATCACTGTTGATACACTGGATAAGATTCAAGAAAGAAGGAACAAGAAGGCAGCAATCAATACCAGTCGAACAAGAGCAGAGAAAGCCAAGGCACAAGCTGAATACACGGAAGTAAACAAACAAGTGAAGAGGAGCATCAGAACCGACAAACGTAAATATGTGGAAGAACTAGCAATGACGGCGGAATAGGCTGCAAGAGAAGGGAACATGAGACAATTGTATGACACGACAAAGAAACTCTCTGGAAATCATCGTAAATCAGAATGGCCAGTGAAAAGAAAGGAAAGCGAGGTAATCACCAACATTGAGGAACAGCGAAGCAGGTGGGTAGAACACTTCAAAGAACTCTTGAGTCGACTAGCCCCACTGAACCCACCCAACATCGAAGCAGCACCCACGGACCTCCCAATCAATGTTGGCCCACCAACAATTGAAGAGATAAGCATGGCCATCAGGCAAATCAAGAGTGGCAAAGCAGCAGGACCGGACAACATCCCAGCAGAGGCACTAAAAGCAGACGTAGCGGCAACTGCAAGGATACTCCACATTCTCTTCAATAAGATTTGGGATGAGGAACAAGTACCGACAGACTGGAAAGAAGGACTCCTGATCAAAATACCAAAGAAAGGCGATCTCAGCAAGTGTGATAACTACAGGGGCATCACTGTTCTCTCAATACCGGGAAAATTCTTCGACAGGGTATTGTTAAACAAGATGAAGGACTACGTAGACGCCCAACTTCGTGACCAACAGGCAGGATTCCGTAAGGATAGATTGTGTACAGACCAAATCGCAACTCTATGGATCATTGTGGAACAATCAATTGAATGGAATTCATCACTCTACCTCAACTTCATTGACTACGAAAAGCATTTGATCACGTGAACAGAACAACACTATGGAAGCTTCTTCGACACTACGGCGTGCCTCAAAAGATAGTCAATATCATACAGAATTCCTATGATGGATTACACTGCAAAATCGTGCATGGAGGATAGTTGACAGACTTGTTGGAAGTAAAGGCCGGTGTCAGACAAGGTTGCTTACTCTCACCCTTTCTCTTTCTTGTGGTGATCGACTGGATCATGAAGACGTCAACATCTGAAGGGAAGCACGGGATACAGTGGACATCTAGGATGCAGTTGGACGATCTAGACTTCGCAGATGATCTGACCCTTCTATCCCAAACGCAACAACAAGTACAGGAGAAGACGATCAGTGTAGCAGCAGCAGTAGGTCTCAATATACACAAAGGGAAGAGCAGGATTCTCCGATACAACACAGCATGCACCAATCCAATCAAATTTGACGGAGACGATTTGGAATATGTAAAAACCTTCACATATTTTGGGCAGCATCATTAATGAACAGGGTGGATCTGATGCAGATGTGAAGGCGCAGATCGGCAAAGCAAGAGCAGCATATTTACAACTGAGGAACATCTGGAACTCAAAGCAACTGCCAACTAACACCAAAGTCAGGACTTTCAATACAAATGTCAAGACAGTTCTACTTGGAGAACTATGAAAGCCATCATCCAGAAAATACAGGTTTTTATTAGCAGTTGTCTACGCAAAATACTTCGGATCCGTTGGCCGGACACTATTAGCAGCAACCTAATGTGGGAAAGAACAAACCAGATCCCAGAGGAGGAAGAAGCGCTGGAAGTGGATAGGACACACATTGAGGAAAGCACCCAACTGCGTCACAAGACAAGCCCTCACATGGAATCCTCAAGGCGAAAGGAAAAGAGGAAGACCGAAGAACACATTACGCCGGGAAATGGGGATAGACATGAGAAAAATGAACAAGAATTGGATGAAATTAGAAAAGAAGGCCCAGGACAGAGTGGGTTGGAGAAAGCTGGTCAGCGGCCTATGCTCCATTGGGAGTAACAGGCGTAAGTAAGTAAGTAAAATAATGGCACAGATAATAGTGTTTCTATTCTCTTATATCGAAAGAAGGTTATTGGTACAGTTTTCAAGACCAGACATACTATTCTATAGCCTACCATATACCACCGCTAGATTAATGGAATATCAGTCATTGGGGAATGAGAACTAGAAGGAATAAATCACAAACTCTCTCGAAATTTCCCTAGTATTTGGGTAAGGCACATGATCAGCAAATACGAAAGACGAATAGGTATAACTGAGTCTACGATGAGTAGAGTTGGAGTAGCCTGAAAATGAACAGTGGCCATGGATTCGATAACGACATTTTATCAGTCCATAGCGGT